TTTTTTGAACATTAAAGCATGTCAACATATTCTGTTACACCAAATACACAAAATAATGATAATGATCTTTAAAAAAGCATCATATGACCCCTTTAAATTAACCTGTTGAATGAATGATTTAACAAATCACTGTTAAAGACACTCACTTGTTGCCACCTAAAGGTGTAACAATGTACACTGCAAGAAGAGTCTCTGAAAAGTCCCCACCTCAAATGTCCAGACTGACACAGTCTGTATGGAAAGAGTGATACAAACATTGCAAGTCCCAGTACTGTTGGAAGGCCACTCTCTCGATTGAATTTGCAAACGAACGGTTTAATAGAATGTACTAATATTAAGATAATATTCTAAATGAAAGTTATTATATTGTGCTAGAGAAACAATTTTTGCTTTTTATACTGAGAGTCCAGAAGCATAGCTAAAATGCTGTGCCTGTTGACTATATCGTCTGCCATGGGTCTGTATGGAAACTGGTTTATAGAACTCTCTGTCTGTTCACCCAGACACTGCCGGTGAATGTGGCCTCACTCAGTTCCTCATGAGCGAGGTCTCTCGCCTACAGAAGCTCGCACAGGACGAACGGAGGAAGCGACTCGAAGTGTCTGCGCAGGCGGCGGAGCAGCTAGACGCCATCCGCCAGCTGCAGCTGTGTGAGAGCGAGCTGCACAAACAGCAGGACCGCGTGCAGCGCATCCGAGATGAGCGCGAACGCATGTGCGATGAAGCACGTAAACTGAGAGACGAGAATTACCGACTGATGCACGACTTGACCCGATTAAGCGAGGAGAAGAACTGCGCGCTCATGTGTAACAGAGACCTCCAGCTCGAGGTGATCAGTCAGTCCACCAGGAAAACCTGTCAAGAACATGTCCTGGTCATAGTTCACAACAAAATCTAAAGATAGAAATAAGACATTAAATGCATTTATTTATTTGCAGTTATGGTAATAATTGTAATAGAGTACTGCAGTGATTATGTTTTTTTTTGTAGGCCAACCTGAAAGTTACATCTCCCTGGTTCCCTCAACAAGGATTTTTTTAGACTTTTGAATTGTTGCAGAAAATAAGCTCTGTGACCAGCAACAAACAAAAGTTTATGATTCTTAAGTGTTTTATCATACTCTTCACAAATTAACTCGATTTGTGTGTATTTTGAAGCCTAAATGCAATCACAAGCAGTAACCATCTAAATGTAGGCTATAAACAAATTACAACACAGTCGCATTACGTTAAAGCCACCATCAGTTCTGGCAGCTCTTTCAGTCTTTATTTTAAAACATTTTCCCTGAAAGTCTGAGTTAGAATAGTTTGCAAGAACGTGATTATGAACATAATGAGGCTGTAAAAACCAAAGACTTTGGTAAAAGAGGACTAGTGAGTAGATGAGTTTTCCTGTTCGCTGTGATGACTTTTAATGTCCCTAACCTCTGTAGCCCCATTTAGCCACTTGTTAACAAAAGCCTTTTTCAAGAAAAGTAAATGCTTTAAAAAATATCTTTATAAAATATCTTGAGCTTGTGCTTGCAGACTTTATTTTAGGCATTTAGCCAAACACCCGAAAAAAACTATTGACTTAAGAACTCTTAAGTGCTATAAATGCTAACTCTTTTCTGAGTTTTGGCCTAATACATCATCCCTGTAGCATGTCTATGAGTGCCGCTAGTCAAATATTGTTAAAATGTAATTTTATGATCTTTTCTCTTTGTTTTTCTCTTTAAATTTTATCTTTTCTCTTTGTGTATTTTCTTTTCCCCCTCTTTGGTCCTTTCTATAAGATTGAGAAATTGAAACACAGCTTAATGAATGCAGAAAGTGACTCAAAGATCCAATGGAAAAAGACAATAACCTTGAAAAATGCCATGGAGCAGAGACCAAGTCCAGAGCTGATCTGGCAGATGCAGAGAGAAAATGATCTCCTTACAGCTCATATACAAGAGCTCGAAAGTGCTTCCAAGGTAAATAACTTAGGCTACACTAATCAATATATGAACAAGAATGCCTAATACACACAATTCATTGACACAGGTCCAAACTCTGGAGCACGAAAAGCTTGATTCACAGTCATTAAAGGAATTCAAGCAACAAAGTCAGGCACAATACCAGGAGCTTGTGAATGATCTCTACAATCTAAGGAGAGACCTACATGATGCAGAAAAGCTGCGTGATAAGGTAGCCTGTGTTTAATAATACATGCAGACTGGATTCAAAGTAAATTTTACTTTATTTTTTATTATGCATTTCATACTGTGAGGGTTTTTTGTGTGTGTATTTGTATGTATAAATGTACAGTGGGTATAGATAAGAATCACCTCCCTTTAAAATGATCACATTTTGTTGCTTTGCAGCCTGAAATAAAGACAGACACAGTTTTTGTTTTATCCAGCTGTATTTACTGTGCAACTTATAACATCCAAGTGAAAGATATAACACCAACATGTCAGAAAAAATAAAAATAAAAAAACAGAATCACTGAGATGGAAAAAGGATTACCCCTCTCCGAAAAATGACTCTGACTTAACTGTGATCAGCTGTGGTCATTTTGCACTAAGTAAATACAGCTGAATAAAACAAAAAATATCTGTATTTTCTGTGCAACTTATAACATCCAAGTGAAAGATATAAAACCAACATGTCAGGGAAAAAAAAAAAAAAAAAAATGAATTATTGAGTTGGAAAAAGGATCACCCCCTCCTAAAAATTACTAGCTAATCACCTTCTCAATGGCACACAGCCATTTGAGTTTCAACTGTGATCAGCTGTGGCCATTTTGATTAGCTCAGTATGAAAAGAGCTTCCTGGAGCCTTTCAGTTCTTGGTAGTGCAACTGAAACAAACAATCAACTATGGGTGGCGAGGCACTGTCAAAAGATCTCCGGGATAAAGTTGTGGACAGGCACAAGTCAGGGGATGGATACAATAAAATTTCAAAGGCTTTATCAATGCCTTGAAGCACAGTGAAATGAATTATTTGGCCTCAACACCAAACAATATGTCTGGTGGAAATCCTATACAGCTCACCATCCAGAAATGCAGCATTCCTACAGTAAAGTATGGAGGTGGTAATATCCTGTTATGGGGAGTTTCTTTGCAGCAGGGACTGGAGCACTTGTCAGGATAGATGGAAAATTGGATGGGGCAAAATACCCTCAAATTCTTGAGGAAAATCTGTTGCCCTCTGCCAGAAAGTTGTCAATGGGAAATGGGGCAAAATACTGTCAAATTCTTGAGGAAAATCTGCTGGCCTCTGCCAGAAAGTTGTCAGTGGGAAGAAGGTTTACCTTCCAACATGACAATGACCCAAAGCACACAGCAAAACTGAACACAGTGGTTGAAGGAGAAAAAGGCGAATGTCCTTGCAGGGCCTAGTCAGAGCCCAGACTTAAACCCCTTTGAAAATCTGTGGAATGACTTGAAGACTGCAGTCCACAAACGCTCACCATCAAATTTAACTGGACTTGAGCAGTTCTGCAAAGAAGAGTGGGCAAATATTGTAAAGTCTAGAAGTGCAAAGTTAGTAGAGATGTATCTCAACAGACTAAAGGCTGTAATTAAAGCAAAAGGTGGTTCAACAAAATACGGACACAAGGGGGTGAACCTTTTTACAATTTAGTGATTGTTTTTTTGTTTGTTTTTCTGACATGTTGGTGTTATATCTTTCACTTGGATGTTATAAGTTGCACTAAATGCAGCTGGATAAAACAAAAACGGTGTCCATTTGAAACAAAAAGTGACTATATATGTGTATGTATATGTGTGTGTATACATACATATACATATATATGTGTGTGTATATATATAGTGAGGCCAGCAGGGGGTGCTCGCCTTGTGGTCTGTGTGGGTCCTAATGCCCCAGTATAGTTAGTGATGGGGACACTATGCCGTCAAAAAGCACCGTCCTTCAGATGAGACGTTAAACCGAGGTCCTGACTCTCTGTGGTCATTAAAAATCCCAGAATGTCCTTCGAAAAAGAGGAGGGGTGTAACCCTGGCATCCTGGCCAAATTCACCAATTCCATCATCATGGCCTCATAATCATCCCCATATACTGATTGGCTTCTTCTTCACTCCTTTCCACCAATAAGCTGGTGTGTGGTGGGCGTTCTGGCTCAATATGGCTGCCGTCACATCATCCAGGTGGATGCTGCACATTGGTGGTGGGTGAGGAGATTCCCCCCTTCCATGTAAAGTGCTTTGAGTACCCAGAAAAGCGCTATATAAATGTAACAAATTATTCATTAATATTATTATATATAATTTTGGTTTTAAATTTAAGTATCGAGAGGAGAAGGATGAGTTGAAACTGAAATGCACAATGCTAAAAAAGGACTCCAAAATGTACTGTGACCGAATGGAAGACATTCTGAAGCAGCTGGAAGAGGTCATCAAAGAAAGAGACAAGGTATCACACTTTTATCTTTGCATGAGAGAACATAATAATATAGTTGGATATAATGCAACATTTACTTTTGGCCCACGGCCCTAAATCTAGTTTGATTTTTGACCCTTCATAATAAAAAGTTTGGGCACATCTGTGTTAGATGAAGAAAGGCCAATCTCTATTCAAATTTATTCAATGTATCCGTTGTATGCATCACATTAACCACAACAGTTGTATGGCACTGCCCTTTTGATAGGCTATTTGTACAAGAGAGGAGTACCATTTGGAGAACTCAAAAAATCTCCAAGACAAAGACCAGTACCGCAAACAGATCCGGGAGATGGGCGAGCGTTATGATGAACTTCAAGTCCAGTTGTTTCGAACTCAAGGAGACGTTCTTGCTCTCCATTCAAAGATTCGCAAAAAGAAAAACCCAATTCAAGTGGTATGTACACTCGAAAAGTCTGCTACACAGAGTGAGCGTGATGTGTGAATGGAACAGATGAATCATTAGTGAGTTCAAAGGGTTAGGCTTTCTGTTGTGTCACTCTGATTTAAGCACATTATCTTTAGGCACATAATGTATCATCAGTGGGTAATGGTTTATAATGAATAGTATGTTTATTATGATTTGTTTTATTCCTCAGAACTCAGAAGAAAGCTCCTTGCTGAGTTCATTTGAGGTAATTTTAATGAGTTCTCTATTAAACGTTTAAATGCAAACACTCTTAGGAAATAAGATATTTCTGTATTGTCTTTCCCATTTTAAAGCGACATTGTCCTCCACAGCATTTGGTTTGTATTATTTTTAGTCGTCAACAGGGTTGCTTACATTTTGTCCACAGATGAAAAGTCAGACCAGCGAGGAGGAGTCCAGGGAAAGACGTGAAAAGGGTAACATTCACTGTTTTTCTCCATCAGATCTCATGCTCATAAAATAGATTGTTCTTGTTTTTTAAACCTTGTTCCTGTTTTCTCACACAGATATGAGTGAAGAGTCACAAAACCAAACATCTGGCAAGTACAATGTAGGTATCTTTGTTGTGGATGTTTATGCATACAGTGATTGTGGCTTCCTTTTTTATGCATATTTCATGTTTGCAGTATTCAGAGAGGATGTTCACTGATGAGGACATATCAGCTAACTGCAGACTTAAAGAAAAATGCAACTTTTATTATAGGAGGTTGGTTTTTTGTATTCTTTCATAACAACAATTTAATCATTGGAATTAACCATTGAAGCAGAGCTACAACTATATTTCAGATTTTAATTGAACTGAATGATTAGTTTCTAAGCAATACTACTAATGTGGTCTTGAACAGGAAACGTGCTTTAAGAACCAAAAAATGCACAGACAAAGAGAGTGTGCAGTGCATCCTAGACAACACTACTGGGAGTGATACAGACGGGACGTGACATACAACTTTAGACAAGGAGACGAAATGTCGCCTTCTTTGACGGCATATTAAAATACAATTTAATTTTTAATTTAATTAACAACATTGTTTTGTATCCAGTGACCCATAAAACCTGATTAACAACATTATATCAATATAATAGTGTTCACTGTCAAAGTATTTCCAGTCAATCATTTATGCTGTCATGATGAGTCTGATCTGCCAAATTTCCTGTTATCTATTAATATATATTATTTAATAAATATAAAACATCTTTTCATGTAAATCTTGTTCTCTTTTTTTCTGTTGCAGTAACTGATGTTTAAAAATAAACGTACCCCTAAAAAATATTCACTGAACTTATCCACCTTTTTCTTCAACGCGGAAGTAAGCCTATGGGTGAGACTTCCGGTTCATTGGCCGCTATAGGGAAATAACGAGAAGAATAACAACATGCAGTAAACGGTTAAACTGTTTGCACTACAAACCAGTGTGTTCATAATTAAGATAATACATTTAAATAATATGGTAAGACACACCCATTTTCAATATCAAGCAGCAAAAGGAGCGGTTCTGTACAGATAAAAATAGCTGGACGCGGATGAAACCGGAAGCTAGACCCATAGAATTTACAAATGGCCGCGCCCATTTTTACGGCAAGAAAACGGTGGATATGTCTGACATTTATCCCCAGAGGCGGACTTACCCTTTAGGCAAAGGTAGGCTACCGCCTTGGGCCCCCAAAAGCCAAGGGCCCCTTAAAATGCTTTTCATATACGAGATGCGCATTAAGTGCTGACATGAGAATGGTTGCTTTTTACAGTGTTTATCACCACGACAACTGTCTGCGTGTCCGAGTTGAACACACTTCTTGTGTATCCTGCTTGTAGCAAATGAAAATATCATGTATCTGAAGCTGTAATTAAATATTGCGCAACAGTGCATATTATATGTTTATTGTTTTAAATGCCGCTTACTCATTTATGAGAAGGACCCAATTAGAGGACGCATACGCAGTTACTTGTTTGGTTGATATAATACTAAGGTGTGTAAATGTATAATTTCCATTTCATTATTTTTTCATTTTCATTTAAATTTGTAGTTAAAATAACTAAAATAAGTGTATTTTAAAGTTTAGAATTAGACAGCCTTTGGCACACAGGCTTACGCTGGTAACTCATCAGTGGACTTTCCTTCTCAATATAGGCTATATTTTTCTCATTCTCACTAATTCAAGTTTTTATATGAATGAATCTCTGAAGGGTACCGACTGTCTTCAGAAAAGTTTCAGTGACATTTTCATTTTATCTGATAAAGTAGCGTTCATGAGCAGCGCTGCTTTGTTTACAGCCGTGACTGGGGAAAGCGCTGTACTTCTGATGTTACAAAAGCGCTTCCTGCTGGCAGAGAATCAATATGCATTTTCAATAATCCCGTGTGCAGTTTCTGTTCAGACCAATCCGAAAATCCACCCACATAACCCCGTTTTAAATTAATATCATAATTTATACTTCCGACTCATCTCTTTTCTTAAAAAATGGTTTAAAGGCTCAATTGTGACGTTTATCATTTTATCATTTATTTTGTTTTTGTGAAAAAAAACTGTAAATCAATTGCTATTTCGTGGTCTACAGCATGAAAGAAAGACATTATAACATGTCCATGAAAAATGTAGAAACACTGGACACAACTGTGGGGCACCATTGTGCAGCAGCAAGCATCACAACAAAAAAGGAACCTCAAGGCTGATCTAGGTAAATGTGTGCAAATATATAAGGCCCGATTCCTATATTTTGCCTGGGGCCCCCAAATAACTAAATCCGCCTCTGTTTATCCCTAGTTTCTCATATATGGGCATGAATGATATATGAACCTTTGTGAATGTGATATTCTAATTATTTTTTTTGTGAAATTGAATTGAAATTGAAGTGTAAAATAAAATACAGTATTATGTATAACTGTTTTGCTATCAAAAAGTTTTGTTTGACTAATTACTGCACTCAAATTTTACTGGTAATAGGCTATGGTTCAAACTACATTTGAATGGGAAATTTGAGTACTGATCCATGGCTGTTTACCACAAACACAACATTTATCCATTATTTTGATTTCAAATTCAAACATTGCCACTGAAAATGCTTTTTCAGCATTGCAATTCCTTTTTTTACACAGTACAGTAATACAATCTTTCACAGACATGTTTAAACACAAATATAAGCAACACGTTATTCAATGCTTTTTACTTTTGCATTTACTTCTAGATTTATATATTAAGTTGCTCAAGCAATTGGCAAAACATTTAAACTACTTTTCTTACATTATCACAAACTTACCATTGACAGAAATAGTAAGCTCTACTGCCTTTTCTTTTGCAATGAAATCTTTATACAATAAATATAAGCAACACATTATTCAATGCTTTTTACTTTTGCATTTACTTCTAGATTTATATATTAAGTTGCTCAAGCAATTGGCAAAACATTTAAACTACTTTTCTTACATTATCACAAACTTACCATTGACAGAAATAGTAAGCTCTACTGCCTTTTCTTTTGCAATGAAATCTTTATTACAAGCAATCATGCGGTTCATAAAGAACTTTATTTTCCTACCTCCACGAGTGCCATATATTATTGTATCTAAAATTATTATATCTAAAAGTGCTCTTTCCCTTTAAACCTAGCCACAAAGCCATAGGTGTTGATTGTGAAACACAGTAGACTTTAATAATATGCATTTATGCTGTAATTACTACCTTTTCGTGTCAATCCATGTTCATATTTACTGCAAACAATGCGCTGTTACTTTAATTCAGCGCTTGCAGCGCAGCAATAGACTTGGTGTGGAAAGGATCTCTGCTCTGCTGCAGACGCACCGCTCCTGAACGCACTGCCGGACCGCAACCGTGTGCCGTAAACGCTTTAATCCGTTAACATGAGCGCGGAAAAAATATGCACCACATATGCACTGCAAACGGAGTAATATTATGAACATGGCGTTATGTGTGTGTGCTGCGAGTGTGCATGAGCGCACGGTGTCCAGGAGAGCGCGCGAGCGCTGAATGGTTAAACACTGGCAAGAATTAAAAAGAAATGCAATTTATAAACTTTAGTGACGACGTGACACTGCCTGGATTGTGCAAGTGACAATTCCTGTATTTATAATAAGTTGTCTTAAATCTCATTTTGTTAAAAACAATCGTGAATCGAATCGAATCGAATCGTGAAATCAAAATCGTGAATCGAATCGAATCGAATCGTGAGTTGAGTGAACCGTTACATCCCTAGTAGCCGATCAATCGGAGCACCCCTAGTACCTACAATGGCAGACACACGTGTGCTTTCCAGTGGTAAAGTTTACCGGCAGATGTTTGACGCCCAGGTAACAGCATTCATAGTATCTGAAAGACAAATGTGCGTTTTACATGTTGTTGATGTTTGTAATATTGTGGATACTTTTGAGTGCAAAATCCTGGCCTGAAGGCAGCTCTTGGCGTATGTTGATAAGGGAGTGTTTGTGCTCAGGTTCAGTTGTCTCTGGCTCTCTATGACTCGCGGAAGAAGCGTGTGGCGGATGAGGGCGACTGTCTGCTCAGTGGAGATGCGGCGGACACCGCATCACAGCGCCTCAATGGGACATTCAGCATCAACACACGGTATGCTGCTGCTGCTGCTCAAGATACGACTTTGATTTTAGTTTAAAGACATTAATCGTAATTAAAAGTACTCTGTTTGATAGGAACACACTTTATTCTGTTGGAAAAAGTGAGGACCAGGATGACAGTGAGGAGGTTTGGGGTCTTCCAGACACTGTTGGTGAGAACTAAAAGTCTCAGTGATGCTGAACTGTTTGTATCATAGAGTCTTTTCTTTTCTTTTCAAGGCAATTTTTCTTACAGTGTAATCACACCAATAAGTACTGAGTAATGAACAGCATGTACTATAGGTTATAGGATTAGGGTTTGGCTTAGAGTTAGTTGCTTGTAATTATGCATAATTTACTGTTAGTACTAGTGCAAGTAACATGTCATGTGTAACAAGGACACTGTAAAATAAAGTGTTACCTGAAAAGACAGAATTGTGTAGAGGAAAGTGCATGGAAGTGATCTGTACATAGCAATAGGAGATAAATGTTTTCTCTTTTTGTAATACAAGATATTTAAAATGTTTTTGAAAAAAGTTTCTTATGCTGACCAAGGCTGCATTTATTTGATCAAAAATACAATAAAATACTTAAAAAATGTAAAATAACGTTTCTCTATTTGAAAATATTTTAAAGTGTAATTTATTTCTGTGATGACAAAGCTGAATTTTCAGCAGCCATACTTTAGTCTTCAGTGTCACATAAATCTTTCTGATATGCATTTCCTAGTCCAACAACAGACAAGCATATCTTAATATCAATTTAGCTGCGTAATATTTTTGTGGAAACCATTATACTTTTTTCAGGATTGTTAGATGAATAGAAAGTTCAAAAGAACAGCATTTATTTAAAATATTTTGTAATATTATGAATGTCTTTACTGTCAGTGTGTCCTTGCTACTTGAAAGTATTAATTAAAAAAAAAAAAGAATCTTACTGTCCCCAAAATTTTGAATGGTAGTGTATGTAAAAACACAAATATTCGGTTAAACATCATTTGTTAATTTTCAGTCAAAGAAAAAATAAATAAACTCAAAAAGACAGTGAAACTCAGTAAGACGTTTTGCCAGATTTCTTTTCAATAATAATAAATAAATTGTATAACATAAAATAATTGCAAAATACTTCAAAATTGTTTGATTGACATTATACAATTTATGTATGTCTAATGCATGTCCTAATAATGTGATGTTATCTAATAATGTCTAAGAACAAAAATGTTTTGCCATCTTTCCCAAAAGTTTTTTGGAACTAAAAGTCAATTTTTTGTGATTCTGTTTTGTCTGTAGTTCCAGAGAAAAAAAAACTCAGGTATCATTAATCGTCTTGTGTAGAAAAGGCGAAGGGATCACAGTGAAGCTGTTTCTCAGTTGCAGACAGATCTCTCCAGCATCAGTGTGGTACACACTTCTATATTTATTGCCAAGATGTGTTTATTCTTATGTAGAGCCCAGTTAATCTATTCTCCATCT